CATTTCTTTCCCCACTTCCCCCAGATACAGGAAGAAAAAACAAGATTGGAGAGAGTTATTTCATTCACTTTCCCCTATTCTTCAACTCTCTACCCTATGGGCAAGCACCTCTCTCAACTATGTAGACATCATCAAAAAATAAAATGAATATAGTATTTTAAAAAAGAGAGAAAGTGAGAAGTGACACTGAAGTAATTGTTCTTTTTCTTTAAAAACATTTATTTTACCTGAAAGTCAGAGTCGGAGAGAGACAGAGAGAGAGAGAGAGAGAAACAAAGAGAGATCTTCCATCCACTGAATCACCTCCCCCAAATGGCTGCAGTGGTCATAGGTGGACCTGTGTGAAGCCGGGAGCTTCCCATGGGTCTCCCACAAGGATGCAGAAGGGACTCAGGCCATCCCCAGTTGCCTTTCCAGGCTGTTAGCAGGGAGCAAAATCAGAAGTGGAGTAGCCAGAACTCAAAACTGGTGCCTATGTGGGTTGCCAGGGCCACAGAAGGATTAGCTTGCTGGCCCCTCAAGTGACTGTTATTAACTGCCCTGCTCACTTGTGTACTTTCTGGAGGACTTTTTTTTCTTTTTAAAGATTTATTTTTATTGTTTTTTTTTTTTATTGGAAAGGCGGATATACAGAGAGGAGACAGAGAGGAAGATCTTCCATCCGATGATTCACTCCCCAAGTGAGCGCAACGCGCCGATGCTATGCCGATCCGAAGCCAGGAGCCTCCTCCGGGTCTCCCACGCGGGTGCAGGGTCCCAAAGCCTTGGGCCGTCCTCGACTGCTTCCCCGGGTCACAGGCAGGGAGCTGGAAGGGAAGCAGGGCCGCCGGGATAGAACCGGCGCCCATATGGGATCCCGGGCGTGCAAGGCGAGGACCTTAACCACTTGCGCCACCGCGCACGGCCCCTGTAGGACTTTTGCTTTGGGTTTTGGAGTAAAGCTTCATTGACATTCAAAGAATGAATGAAGGCAAAAATAATTTCATATATGGTCAGAAATTTCCAGCTTGGTCGCCCAGTTCCATCTTCGCGATTTACATAAGCACAGACAAGTGGCAGAGAGAGTCGGTGGCAGGTGGTGTGCATTCAGAGTTCCAGGCTGCCAGTCTGGGGTTCAGCAATCCGCGCTATCATTTCAGCACCATGGCCAGGGGCACCGCGGCGGGCTTTAGGGACCGTTGAGAAATTACCCGTCCTATCCTTGCAGGCAGGCATGGCTCACCAATCCCAGAAGCTCTGGTGCTAGACAGGAGCTGGAATCCCACCAGAGCCCTACCGGCTGAGGCTTTGCAAGACCCAGAGGGCAGCGCCCACGGTTACAGAGTGAGGTGCCACCCCGTGCTTTGCCGCACTCGGTGCCTGCCAACCTAGGCTCCTCGTGTAAAGGGCTGCAAATCGCCAGCTTAGAGCCACACCCTTCGTCCTAGGTCTCTGTAGTAACTACCCCAGGGACAGAAGGCCTTGCACCAGCCACTTCCTTCCGGGACTCTGTATCCAGCAATGCGACCACCAAGCCCTGTCTCCCTCACTGACTGCAGGAGAGTAAGAAGTTTAAAGTTCCGGAGGTGGGGCACAATTGAGACTACCGTCACGGATGAAAAGCTGTCAATCCAATGTATCCAGCTCTTACAGGCATATTCTCTCCTCCCAAGTGCCCCTCTTCCACACAAGCCCTTATCTCAGAGCTTGGGGGCTTTTCCTGGCTTCCCACTGGAGGAGGGGCCTCTAACTCGGCTCATTGCATTGTGCCACCCGTCCAAAAATACACTGTCAGGGTATTAAAACTCCCTCCAGCTTCTTTGGTAAATTAGCCAGGGCTCAGAGACTTGTCCAAGGTCACACGGCCCCAGCAGTCTATGAGGGAGAGGAGGGGCAGGGTGCACTCGCCCTGGGAGCCCTGGGACCGCCTGCCTTTGTGCCAGCCCAGTGGCCTGCCTCCCAGACATTAGCATTCCAAAGGCCGCTGGGACGCTTTGTCTTCCCTTCGAGGCCTACTGGGGGCTGGGGTGGGATGGGGGCAGGGCACCATAAATCTACCTGCTTGTGTGTTGTGAGGGGGCTGGGATGGGGGTGGGGCCGAGGGGCTGTGGGACTCAAGTTGTGTTTTTCTGGGAGTTGGGCTGGGGCTCAGACAAAGGCTCCGGATTGGGGAAGAGGCATCCAACCTGAGGAACTTTTCTGCCCCAATTTACAGCTCTGTCTGGGTTTCAGGGAGCCAGGGTACAGACGGAGACAGCGTCAGAGTGGTCCTGGGTGGAAGGCAAAGGAAGGACTGTCCAACCAAGATCTGAAGCTACCTGGCTGGTTTTAAGTGCTCAATACTAAATGCTGCGGGAGATGGTAGGGGAAGGTATTGGATTGGTGATAAGCAGTCTTGTTGGATAGGCTCTGGACAGAAATAGTTCTGATTCCTTCTCATGGAAGGGCTGTCTTTGGAAAAAGGCAAGGCTGGGGCACCCAGCTTAGCTCCGTTGGTGAGGTCACCCAGAGCACTGGACCCTAAACTCAAGCTAAACTTGTAGCTGCTCCTGACAGTCCCAGGGTCAAATCCTAGCTCAACCCAGGGTAACATCCCAGCAGCTGAATCGCTTCCAGTGTCCATGTGTGTTTTAATTTACGGGGTGGAGGACCAGCCTGTGTGTGCTGGGTGACTAATGACTGAATGATGAGCACCCTGGAAAGCAAGAGAGGGCCTCAGCTGCTTAGGTTGCCACGGCCAGGAGTGTGGCACCCGCACTCCGGGGGCATCCCAACCACATGAATGCCACTTTCCACAGCCCTGCTGAGGATGAAGGACCTCCCTGCTTGAGAGATTTCTCCCTAAGCCTTTGGTCCAGCACCACCAGTGTGAACCTCTGGCAACTCAACCCCAGGTAACAACCCCCTGCTGACTTGTGCAAACCTCCACCTCGTGCTGGTATTGTTTTGGCCTTGAATCATTTTGTCTATACCTTGGAGGGCAGTGATCATCCTGCTCCTAACCTCTGCCTATGCCCTCCCCACAACCACTACCAAGTAGCAGGTGCCGGTGTGGTCTGTACAGCCAGAGCTGCTGACACCTGCCCCCAGGCGGTGCTTCAGATGGAACGTTGGCTGTTGCATAGATCACCAATAACCCATTAATCTCCTTCTCTTAGATTAAAGTCCTGAAACAAAACAACACCTTTGTTCGTTCTTTGTTTGCTGTGACCTCATTCCTGTCCCCTCCTTTTTGGAACCTAGGGCTAGAGGAAACAGTGAGATGGTCTAGGAGAAAGAGATGCCAGAAATGCTAAGCTCTGAGATGCTGCCTGCGTCGTGATCTGACGCCTGGGAAGGTACTCAAGTTGAGTTGCCTTGGAGAGATCCCCAGCCAACCCAAGGAGCCCTTTCAGGCTCGACCATCAGGTAAGATGCACTCTCCTGGCATTCATTTTTCTTTTCCAAAGAGTCCAGGGAACTCCACAGATTCCTTGATGCCCTAGGGAGTCCCAAAAGCCCTGGAAGAGGGGACGCGGGTTTCAGTGGCCAGCAAGTTCATGACTGGAGATTTTGAACTCTCAATTAAATTTCAGCCCAGCCTGCCAGGTGTCACAGGTTCCAGCTGGAGCCCACACCTTCTCCGCTCCGAGCTGTTCAGTTCCATGAATGGAGATGCTACTGCCACAGTGCCTGGTGCATAATTGGCGCTAAGTGGGATGTGCCAGACCTTGAAGTGCCTCAAAATTTTCCAGGGACACCCCAACCCAACTGCAGCTTGTCTGAGAACTCTGCGACTATGTTGTTACTCTCACCTTCCCAAATACAGAGGTAGATCCAAATCTTGGTCTGTGGCAAAGGGGACAGCGTCCCAGTGAGTCCAGTGAGAGCCTGTCTTCTAAACCGAGGTTTGAAATAAGACAAGTCACAAAGAAAAGAAGGGGGTCTATGGTCAACCATACCACCTCAAACGTGCCCGAGCTCATCTGATCTTGGAAGCTAAGCAGGGTCTGGCCTGGTTAGTACTTACAGGGGAGAAAGAAAAGGGGGCTGGATCAATGACTTCTTAAGAGACTGTGCTGGCTTCCAGCCCAGCACCCACAGCAAGGGCCCCTTGAAATACCACTCTGGCTGCCACCCACACTCCCCACCCCACCCCATAACCAAGTCACTCTGCTGAGACTTCCTGGGTGGGGCTCCACTTTATTGTTATCATTGATGCAAAATCTCATTCACCAGTCCCCAAATACTCTTATGTATGAAATATAAACTTTTTTTCTGCTGTAAAATCTCATTAATAAATACAAATGTGTAAAATGGAAGGAGGGCTATATAACTTACCATACCAAAATTCATTTCAGAAGGCATCATATCATTTACAAACCGATTTCTTTTTAAGGGAGGCGCGGCCCTGCGTGCATTTGCGTCCAACTCACGTGTACTGCGCGGGACGCCAGGAAGCTGGGGAGACATCCTGGCCACCAACTGGAGCCTTTCCAGTTCACACAGGTCTCCAGCACCCCAGAAGGCAACGTGTCACAAAGTGCAGGAGGAGAAGGCCGGGATCGCCTTCGCAGATTAAGGCAAGGTGGAATGGCCGGAGACACTGGACTGGAAGGGTTAGGGGAGGTGAGTGGCGTCTTTGGAGCAGACAGAGCAAAAGGAGCAAGCTTGAAGAGATCAAGAGGGGTGGTTAGAGAGTCTTGAGGAAAGGTAGGGCGATCGAAGCCCACGGGCGCCTCGGTGCTCAGCGTTACCTTACTATGCTACTCTGAACGAGATTCTGCGTGGCTGCTGGGAGAAGGGCCTGAGCCACACACGAGCCTGCAGTGCCCACCTTGCGCCCGGCCACAGGGGTTTGCGTGGCGCAGAGGGCCGAACGCCAGTCTGGTTGAACCCAGCCTGTCGCCCTGCTTGCGCCTGGGCCAGTCAGGGACGAAGTCAGTGAGAGACTGGAGTGTGCTTGCCTGCCCGTCACTGCCCACCCACTATCGCTCTGTCTTCTCCCCCAGCTGCTACTACCTGCCCACTGACTGGCCACCTCACAAAAAGTCCGAGAAAGCCAAAGCGCCCGAGCACAGGCCTGTGGGGGAGGTGGGCATCAGAAGCAGCCCTGTGCGTTCCTCGGGTGAGGCAGCGGGGCTCAGGCTGCCAGCCTGGGAGATTGGAGAGTAGAGGGAACCCCAATCCCCGGAGGAACCATCGTCCAGGCTGCCCAGCTCCGCAGAGGGAGGCGCCGGCGGCTCTGGCCCGTACAAGCTGTGATCAGCTATGCGCAGCGCCTGCGTCAGCGCCCAGATGTAGTTGTGCGCAAAGCGCAGCGTCTCGATCTTGGTAAGCTTCGCGTCGTCGGGAAAAGTGGGGAGCACGCCCCGCAGCGCGTCCAACGCAGAGTTGAGGTTGTGCATGCGATTGCGCTCGCGGTCGTTGGCTTTCTTGCGGCGACTCCGCCGCTGCTTGCTCAGCGCCAGTTCGTTCTTGGGCCGGCTGCGACCTCCGCGCCGGGAGCGGAGCTTCCTCTCCGCCCCTCGGCAGCCGCCTTCTTCTGCTTCCACGAGGTCCCGGAGCATTCGAGTGGGGCTAAGCGGGGCGGATGCAACGCAGGCCACTTGGTGGTCCGAGGTTCCGGGGAGTGATGGCTCGGTCTCGTGGGTCGCTTGGATGGTGGGCACACCCGTGGGTTGAGGCGCCATCCTGCGACAGGATAAGAGATAAAGGGATAAGCCTGGGGCCGCCCGCCCCGGTTGGTCCCCGATTCAGAGACGTGGTAGGGAAGAACTGAAAAAGAACCATCCCCTTTCCATCACAGGGCCCCCTTTACTTTAGTCTTCCCTTTGGCGCCCCCCGAGGATTACCTAGTGCTGCGGGCTCAGGAGATTGGAGAGCACTGAGCTGCCGGGAGTGGAGCGGCCAAGTTCAGTCAGCTGCAGGCACCCCCGCCTGGGAATCGCTCCGCCAGAAAGCAAGGAAGAGCAAAGGGGAACCTGGGCGTCTGTCGCTCTCCTGTGGCTGACCGAGGTCGCGTCGCTTGCCCGAGCTGCAAGTCGTGTGCCCCTTGGCACGCTTTATCTGTTTGGCAGGGGCCCGGAGCGTGCCTGCCCGACTGCTGCCCGCGCCGCCGGCCAATCAGCGCCCGGACCAGGGCCCGCGCCACGCGAGCCCGCTCCTCCCTCCTGCGGGGCACAGCTGGATTCCGGACAAAGGGCCGGCCGGGGTCGGGGGAGGGGAGCGCCGCTCTGTTTGCTCTCTCCTCCCGGGCTCTGTCCCAGTAACTCTCGGTTCCTCAAAGAGCCTCGCCCAGACCGCTTTGCTCCTATCCTGGCCTTCGCTGGCACTCATTCAGATCTTCTTTTGGTAGCACGAAGGAGCTTTGGGAGACCTGCGAGAAAAGCCAGTTCCCTCAGTGCCAGGGGCAACTGAGGCGGGGAGGGCAAGCTGACTCGCCCCAGAACGCTCAGCTAGACGGTGCCGGGACCCACGGAAGCAGGGCAGGCGGACTGGCAGAGACAAGACGCAGGGCATCCAAGAGTCACCTTACTCTTCTGCCCAGCGGTTTGATCAGGAAACATGTGTGAGATTGGGCTTCACCATCCAGCGAGGGAAATCTTATGCCACTTCCATCCAGAAACCTCCTGTGGGTGGGGACTGCCTCCCCTTGCCCTGCCCAAGGTGGGTGGCTGGACGTGGTGGGGGGAATGCTTTGCCACTCCCACTCCTATTGTTCAGCCATTGGCCGGAATTGGGGGTGTGTGTGAATTGTCCAAAGGGGGCCAGGAGTTCACAGCCAGCCCAGGGTGTTCTGGTGCTGGGAGAAGCAAATCAACCTTGTCTTCCCTTAATCCCCCTGTCCAATTATAGGTGGTCAAGTGTGCCCTTCACCTGTCCTGGCCCTTCCAGAGCAGGTTACTCCCCAAGGCTCTTGGCTTGTGTGTCTGATACATGCTGCAAGAAGGAGACAGGACCTGGGAGACTAGGGATTGTTGGGTAAGGAGACAGGATAGGTCAGTGGGTATACCCTGTTGATAACCTCTTGCCTCTCAGGCTGCTTGGTGAGCAAAACTCTCTCCAGAACAGGAGGTGTGAAGTTTGCATGGGAACCAGTGACGGGTCTGAAGGTTGGGGGCAGAGGTTTGGCAGCTCTTGTAGATCTCAACTGGTGGGCTGGGAACAGAGGCTACTATCCTTGGTGCTAGGAAAGAAAACCTGGGGTCAGGGCCAGCCAAGAGACCAGGAGGGACTTTGGGGCTGAACCTTGCTGTGGCTCCTCCCTTTGGTCAGGACTTGCTACAAACTTATTTGTGAGAATGGAAACTGGAGGCCCCCTTTACAGATGAAAAGGTCAAGGCCTGGGAGAAGAGACTCCCTCCAAGTCACCCAGCTAATTCCATCAGAATCACACAAAATTCGGATTCTGACTCCTAGTTCTACACCTGCTCCCTTGCACAGGCTGCTTCTTCTTGATTTGGGGAGGGAATGTTTTCTCAAGGCATCAGAGACCTCAAATGAGGAAGCCCTGAATGGGTGAAGAATAACAAGATTGGATAGGAAAAGAAATAACAACCTCCTTGGCTCAGACAAGGGGAGCTGGCTGCACTCCTACCATCACTTTTCTATAGGAATTAGAGCATTAGAAACTAAAAACGGGGAGAGGAACCCAAAGCATGTTCCTAGGACCCTTAGTCCTAGGCAGGCTACCTTTGGGGAAACCCTCACCCTGAGGAACCCCAGTGCCCATGTGAGTCCCTGGAGAGATGAAATACCAACCACAGCTGAGAACCTGGTGGACCTGCCAGGATGTGGACTCATTGTGCCTCGTGGGAACTGATCAGAGCAACAGGGTGAACTTCCTGAGTCAGGGAAAGATTCTGGGGATGCTGGAGGACAGTGCTGATTGGCAGAGAATTCTTGGACCTGCTGGGGATTCTAAGCAAGCCTCCTCAACATTTCCCGGGGCTTTTGGCCCTCCAGGGCTTTCACTTGGTCTTGCGCAAAAAAGCAGGGGAGAGGAGCGCACGGCTGCGGTGAGGGCTGCAGCCTTTGCGCAGACGCAAGGACTTTCGCCGCTCCGGTTCAGGCCGGGACGCAAGAGCAGAGGTCCAGAAGTCCCAGGAATTAGAAGTTGAGAATCCATGCCCTCCCACTCCGCTGCTCGGAACGTAGACCCCTCTCCAAAGTTAATCACCGAGGTTTAGGCGGCGGAGGCGCAGGCGGTGACCACTCGGTGCGCCCTGGTTGTGTCTGTTAAACCGCTGCTCCAGCCCGAAACGGAGTCTGTTTCCGAAGCTCCCGGTCATCCACTACTGCCTCTAAGGCCTCCTGGACCCCGCCGCCCCTCGACCCCTTTAGAGCTAGGCTTGTCTGGAGACTGAAAGGGTCCGAGAGAGAGAGAGAGAGAGAGAGAGAGAGAGAGAGAGAGAGAGAGAGGCGACAGCCCGGCGCCTGGAGACCGCGGTCGGATTGGAAAAGGAGGGCAGCGACGTCGTCTACCGCTTTGCCCTCGGCGGGGGGAACCTTAGCACGGCCTGGGGGCTCTTTGAGAACGGAACAGGGAGGGAGGGGGGTCACGTGAAGCTGAATAGCTAGTGGCTTGCCGGAGAAGGGGGCTTCTTTCTCTCGCCTTCGTTTCAGCACTGAAAGAGGAGAAGATAAAAATCTGGCGAGCGAGCTGCCCGGGCCGAGACTGGCCACTTCAAACAGCCCTTCAAACAAAAGGAGACGGCGAAAAGAAAGCCCCACCTGTCTCCAGTGTTTGCTAAAATAATAATAAATAGATTTCGTTTAATAAATAATTACAAGAGATTGTAAAGTGGAGTGCTTTGGAAAACATCTCTGGCGGGAGTCTGCGCAGCCAGCCGTCACCTGCTCCCAAGGCGAACAACTTTATTGTTAAGCCACCCCCCCAACTAGTTCTCCTCTGATAAACTCTCCCTCCTTTTCACAATGACTGTTTACTCATAGTTAGCACAATATTACCTTTGCAGTGATAAACCCGGAGGGGGGGAGACCTGGCCCCTGGGCACACCTGTCTCAGAAGCTGACATGCGGATTTGGCACCAACAAGGCCTCCCCCAGGGCCCTGCCCCCGTGTACATTGGCCCAATTGCCACTCATTTATAACAGGTTGGCTGCAAGGCCTATCTCGGTCCTATTTGTCTTCTTTTATTGAAAGCATATGGTCTCCAGGGGCTTACCAGTCCCATATTTCATCTGCCAGGAGCTGGGGCGCTTCCGCAGCCTGGTGCTGCCTGGCGCACAACTCCCCATCCAACGGCTGCTTTGCCAGCCGAAAGGTGGTGGGATTTGGGTGGGGAGCATAGCCGCGGGGCTCTTCACCGGCTTTGGGACAGAAGCCATCCCCTCAGGGAGCTCCCCCTCCCGGAAATCAGAATGGGTGGCTGGTTCCTTTTCTTGGATAGGCGTGAGGGCGCCATATGCCGCCCCCCAGGGCGCAAGAGGGAGCTCCGGCCTGGGGAGTCCTCGAACAAAGGGTGGAGAGGGCCGGGGCGCTCGGGAGCTCTGGAGGTCTTTATTTCTAGATGTCCCTCCCTGCCCAGGGCCGCTTCACCCCACCCCCCGGCGTCTGTAGCTAGCGCGCAGCGCCTGGAAACAAAGTCTAGGCATTATCTGCGCCTCCGGCCCAAGGCTGTGAATGAGTGAAAAGGTGCAGTGCGCACGAGACACCTGTTGAAGCGGCGCCTCTTCTCAGGCTTCTCTGCGTTCTGCACCGGGTCAGGCGCTTCCCGGGGAGTGGGGGTGGGAGGAGGGAGAGCTACTGTGATTTGTGGCGACATATGTTGATCAGATCCGTGTGTACTCTTCACAGGGACACACGCACCCTCGCTCCCATACACACCCCGCGAGAAGCAGCAGCTGCTCTCCTCACCTTCTCCCAACATAATACCTGGGCCGGGCGCTTTGGCCTTGCCTTTTGAGACTCCAGCTTCCCCCACTCACTCCCTCGCCCTTTCGTCCCCCACCCACCCCCCTCATCTTGGCAACGTTGATGTAAGATTTTTATTGTCAGATTTAACAGATGCATGTCCGTTCCCAGCTCCCGTCCGCCCCCCCCCCCCACTCCCACAGGCACCATCAGAAAATGCGCCAATGACACAGATGCGGAGCGCGAGATGCCCATATGGTCGCCCTCTGCGCCCTCTTGGACTAAGGTTGCAAACAAGCTGTGTGATTTGCCCTCACAAAGTAAGAAATAGAGGAAGTCGGTAGGAGCGGGGAGGCCTCCTCTAGGCACCTCCGACTAAGTGCTCTCCATTTGGCACTGAGGCGTAGTGCACCGCGCCGGCAGCCAGGAGGGCGCAGGCGTGCAGAAGCAGAGCGCATATCTCCGGGTGGCTGGGGAAAGGGTCTCTGTGTCGCGCCCGAGCCAAGAGGGGCGCAAAGTCTGGAGGTACCGCTGAGAGAAGATGCCTAGCTCTTGCGGGGATGCCCAGGGGTTGGGATCCTCCTGAGACACCACCAGGGGCCAGCCAGTACTCGGGACACTTTGGCACACTTCTGCCTACTTGTTTCCTTGGCGGGCAGGAAGCAATGTCCAGAGCAGGACTTCACTGATAAAGACCACAAGAAGGCTTGAGCTCCATGTGCGTGTCTGTGGTGCTGTGCACTGCCCTGTGCCTGTGGCCTGGCTATTCCACAATCCCTGTGCCACTGCCAGCACGTTGTTTCTTCTCCCATC